CTCTCAGGTAGAGCTATAGTTTCCTCTGATGCAATTTCTCAGTGTAGTTACTGATCCCTTGTTGTCGTCTTCTTTTCATTTATGTAAAATGCTATCTTTTGTGACATTAATGACATGGTAACTTCTATTCTTCTACTGCAGAAGTTTGCAGTGATGACTGCAAAGACATCTAATAGGTGAATATTCTTGGAGAGAATATCCAAGAATGTGATATGGGAGAGCGCTGAGAGGGAAGGGAAAGGAAGGGAAAGGAAGGGAAGGTTGTGTGCATCCCTTCTATATCCCACAATATAGAAGCAGGTAATAGAATACATAGGTTGTCCCTTAGCTTTTAAGAGCTGGTGGTTATAATTTCTAACAAAAGAACAGGCTACGAGCACAAGCAAAGCAAGCAGCTACTTAAAGCCCCACATTTCAAATATGGTTTGTTCCTTCTTGAGTAATCCTATTGGCCTGGGTGTCTCTTTCTCCACTGTCCAGACAACTCCAGGCCTATCTACATTCCTGTTGACAGCTGGGGCCATGCAGATTTCAAGAGCAAAAATGGATTTTAGAAAGGGCAGAAACTGGGCTGGTTAAATAGTTAGTAATCACCATTGTTCTGTTTAATGCCCTGCTACCTATTCTCCACAATGCGAAGTGAGGCATGCAGTTAGTAAGACAGCTGTGCCTGGTTATTTTATTCCCAAATAGAAAATGCGGCTATAGTTAAAACTCCTCAAAGAGATATAGAACAAAAATATTTACCATTAGAAAACGTCTGGGGGGTAACGTGCTGCTGGAGGTGCCTCTCCCCTGTTTGACATTATAAAAAAGTGGTTTAGAAACAGTGTCCAGCAAGGAGTTTGGCTTTTTAAAAATGTAAATATTCCCAAAGAACAGTTGAATCACAGATTTTCAGTGATTTCCCTCCCCAGTTCCCCACCCCACCTCCACATACAATCCTAGCTAAAATCAAATTACCAAGTCATTTGGCCAATGGATCAATTTCATAATAGTTTCCTTCCTTTTCACCAAGAATATTTCTCCTCTCTGTTCACTAGTGCAACTCTCACTTTATTAAAAACTAGCTAGTTGTTTTTTTATAGGCAGAAAAGAAAAAGAAAGGGACAAGAGAAAGGAAATTAGTATTTAATTCTGTTAGTATTTAAAGTTCTTTTCTAGATAAATGTAGATGCAACTTTGAAAAAGCTTTTGTTTATCAGAAGGTAGATCAATACCCTTACGTAGTAAGCAGCATGCATATAAAACAAATTTGACTGTTCACAATAGCAAAGTAAGCAAATTATTGTGAAGCCTCTACTAATAAACCAAATTCAGCTTGTGAATTAAGGGGCAGTCAGAAGACAGCACACAATAGCCCTAAAAAACAGAATTCTAACCCATTCATCAGCTGAAAAAAAGCTCCTACTGCAGTTTAAAAAATTTTTTAAAAGACCCTACCCAAAGACTTATAAACCAAACGCCACCACAGAAAAGGAAAAAGAATGACAAAAACAGGAAGAAAGCAAATTCACACAGTTCTTAGTGATCTTCTAATGCTTCTTTAGATGCAAGCTAAATTAATCAGTTCAGGTAATCCAATCAAATATAAATACAGGTAGTCCTCATTTAGCAAGCACAGTTGGGACCTGCAACTTGGTCATTAAGCAAAGCAGTCACAAAGTGAAACTACAACTGTGCTTATGATCTTAGTTCAGCTTTCCTTTGCTTTACAGACCTGCAAAGGTTGTAAATGTGAGGATTAGTCACAAAGTTACTTTTTCATCACTGTTGTAACTGTGAATAGTCGCTAAATGAGGACTACTTGCATAACTTTCAACTACATTGTATTTTAAAGTATTTACAAACTTAATCCTATGCATGATACTTCAAAAGAAATTGCACCAAATTAAATTATTCTAAATGAATAATTAAACCCTAACTCTAACCCAAAGAAGTCAGCATAGTATACATAGAACTGTAACCTTAAATAAATTTAATACAGTCCATCTAATCTCTATGATATAGTTTCTTAGGACAAGAATGCATTTTTCAAATAACCATGACTTTAAATCTTTTGATATTTTTTTTAATTTATTTTTTTTAATTTTT